GAAGACAAAGTGAGGATTTCTGTCCAAGACACATCATATCCTGCCTATAGGAGCTTCTCCAACAGTGAGAATGGCGTTCCAGATGGCACGTGAGGACAGCATTTAGTGTGTGAGGACAGCATTTAGTGTGTGAGGACAATGTTTGGTATCTGAGGAGCTCTGCTGAGGATTTTCTAGCTCAACTCAATTTGGGTAAAGATTGAAAACCGATTTCAAACACAGCCTGCCCTAAATCAAACAAACTCAACTCTGGTGGAACAAAAGCCACTCAGCAAAGAAACAAAGCCATAAAATAACAGTCCTGTAAATAGAGCTGAAGCTTCTAGCCAAAGGTCAGGCTCTACACACACCCAATGCAGAATGGCAGGCTTCTCAACCTTGCTGGTGAAGAGCAGGTGGCCTTTGCCACTGAAGGCAGCCTGGAACAAGGGTGATCCTCCCCCAGCACTCTGGTCCTTTTCCACAACTGATATACTCTGCAGCAGCATCCAGGCCCATCTCTGGCCCTTTAAATGCAAATGCACCAGCCTTGATAAGCATGGACCCTCAGAACTGGAAGTGGCTGCAGCAATCTGCCAGGACCTAAGGTTGCCGTGTTTCCATGCAGACGGGGACAATGGCGAAGACAGAAGGAGCAAGGACACCTAACCTACTTTCTTGTCAAAGGATTAAAAATCCAACTCAGGCCCTCCGTGAACCTCACAGGCTTCCATGAAGCAGGGAGTAATGCTGTGGTACAGTGGAAAGATGGATGGATGCATGGATGGATGGGATTGTACCAAGGTTCTCATCATTTGCAATACTTGCCCAGGCTCCAGGACAAGGAAAGTCATGAAGACAGCAGCTCAAGATTTAGACATGCCGAGTTTGAAACCAGGTGTATAGAGGATGAGGAAGAGGAGAGAACAGACAGGAAGTGAGGAGTAGAAGAGACAAAGCAGCGTTCTCTGCATCCCAAGGGCCTCCACTGGCAGGAGAAGGTAGTTCCTGGCTGAGAAAGCATCCAGGGCTCCTTCCGACTGTGACGGACTGAGCTCCCTGCATCTTCAAGGGAAAGTCAAGGAACATGCAGCTCCAGAACAATAGCATGAATTTGGAGCCTTAGAACCTTGCCCCTACTCTGGGGAACTTTTTTCTCAGTGCCTAGTGCAAATGGGCACCAGTGTTTGCTAGCAAGTAGAATGAGTCCTGGTTCCTACATAGCCTAGGAGAAAGGCCATAGCTAGGTGAGCAGTATATACGGAGCACTAGCAGCAACACAGTGATAAAACTAATGTGCTCCCTCCACCTGAAGTATCTCATTTGGGATTCATCACATCACCTTCGAGGTAGCCAGTCCTAGGCTATGTTACAGGTTAGGACACTGAGGCAGTAGAGCGATTAGGTAACTTGCCCTAGGTTGTACAGCTAGGAAGCAGTGGGGCCTGGATCCCACTTGGAGGCTGGCACCCTCAGGTTCACCACTGCCTCTCAGTCTACTCACTGAGACCAGTTGTCAAATATAGTTCCCATTGTGGATGGTTTTAGCAACAATGTATTTAAAAGAAGTATCAGAAAGAATAGTAATCTGTTCCTAAATGACCAGATGATAAAAAGTTCTTTGTTTTCAAAGACTAAAACTGAGAATAAAAGACTGATACATATATATACGTATATATATACGTATATATATGTATATATATACGTATATATATATTCCCTTAGATTTGTCCTCCATTAAAACCAAGTCTTCAGTAACACAAGGCCTCAAAAGACCTTAGATCCAGTATTACTTTTAGCTGGGCACAGGGATGGGGATTCAGGGTTAATCCAGTTAACAGAATGAAGATAAGCTACGTACATTTTGTGTTATTCAAACTCTTCCGGCAGCAAGTTTAATTTTACTTAATAAGTAAAGACCTATTGGCATAAATACAATTAATCTAATGGAATGATGCCCAAAGCAGCTCTAAAACCCACAAGATACCTAAAGACACCACAAAGAAAAATTTCTAGATTTTCTATAACCTAGAAGTAAATAGCGGAGCAAATTCTAAAATCAAGTGTTTAAGAAATATTAAAGACATCTCTCTGTAAAGACCTGGGTCATGAATGGACCCAGTAAAACATGTCCTGGTCCCTAAAGAGTAAGTTCCTCTGTAAGTGCAGAGGCTTCTGTCAGCAACGTCTAAAACTAAGAAGCAAAGGCAACTAGTAAATTAAAACCTCTCTAGAGTCATAAGGACTGCCTGCAGTCAGTGAATATTGCTTACGAAAGACTAACAGAATTTAAACTAACAAGCCAATAAAATATTTAAAATATAGCAGTGTACACACTTAGCATGTGCAAGTAGTTCACATTGAACTGGGTTCAATCCCCAGTAAATAATAATAGTAATAATAATAAATATACACCAAATATTTGGCCATTTAAATACTTGGTGCTATTTTAAAAATAAAAAGTGTCAAGAGGCTAGAGGGCTAAGGTATATATAGCTCAGTTGGCAGAGCACTGGCCTAGCATATTCGAGGCCATGGGTTTTAGTCCCAACACTGAAAAAATAAAATGTAAGAACTTTGGTAAATGTCACAATGTACCCCCAGAACAATAATAAAAAAAGATGGAAACCCCCCAAAATATGTCTAATAAAGAAAATAAGAAAGCAACATTCAAACACTTACTATGCATAAGAACGTTCAAGTGCTCTTTTGTGTAATTCTCTTAATAACGAAGAGGTTGATAATATATTCCCCCCCTCAACAAATGATTAAACAGGTTTAGAAAATTTAAGACCCTTATAACGTCTTTATTTACAACTAGTAAATAAAAGAACTGAAATCTGTGGGAAACTGAAGCCATATTTTTTTATTACTCCTTGCTTTAAAAGGAAGAGAAAGAAAGAGGAGGAATGGACGGAAGGAAAGAAGGATAGAAAGAAGGGAGACATTTCACAGCAGCTCTGATACTGAACTCCATTGGTGCTAAAATCCCAGAGCCTGCAAACCAGGCTGAATACCATTCTAGTCCCCAACTTGCCTCACCTCACATCCAAAGACTTCTTACTAAGCTGTTGCTTTACAAAATCATTGTCTGAAAGCCTTGACTTAAAAAACAAAACAAAGCAATAACACAAAACATCCTCCCAGTCCTATCAGCACAGTAGGAGGAAATAACAAGTGAACACAGATGTATATTATCCTTAAAATAAAACTCAGAAGGAAAGTTTGAAAGCTGTGGCACTGAGCACACACGAGTAGTATTTGTGTAGACTTTGTGTGGGCTAGTACGAAGAAAGCCCCTTAGTAACCTACCCAAAGAACCACTAAAAATTATCAAATCACTGTCACTAGAAAATGATAAACGAACAAAGCAATGAAGATTTTTTTACTCAAAATTAGATCAGGGAATCTCCACTACATAATGAAAATCATTAAGAGGTTTCAGGAGTAATTGCAAGCAGGTGTGACTTCTCCCTCAGAAATTAATCAGCTAATAACCGTCCATCATCTTTTGCATAGTTTATGCATTCATAATAGGGTTTAATAAGATCTCTACAATAGACCCAGAAGAAATGAACAGCATTTGAGGCCTAACACGAAAGCATTCCTCAGACGATGAAAATTTGAGCTTCTCCTTCACGTTTTGTGTTGCTTCCTCTTTTTATAGGTGCGTGCATTTACTCTCAACGGAAACTTCATCACGCATCCTTTGTAGCTTTTGTTCCTAAAAGCAGTTAACCTCCCTCATCAACTTCAAGCATTTTATTAACTCTGTCCCGTTTAATTCGTCAGCGGTAGGCAGCAGAATTTTGAAAGGAAGACAACCAGGAAGATGAGAGCGAAATCTTTTTCTCACCGCAACAGGGTTGGCAGTTTCCCAGAGAGGAACTCGTGGTGTCCGGAGCTACCCAACAAGGACTAGGACACCGCCTGGGCCAGTGCGTGCAGGCCAAGGCGAACGGGTGGGGTTGGTGAGAGCCAAAGAAATCAGTGGGCGTGAAGGTGGCCCAGGTCCCCTTTACCTTTGCGTATCAATCCCCACCTGGGTTTTGCACCCTTTTCGCACCCTTGTCTTTATCCCTACAGCATTCAAAACATTTGCGCTCCAAGCCTCCAGGGGCTGGGACTATACGCCCACACCCCCCTCGGAGAAGTTGGCCCGACACTTCAAGCCATTTTCACTTTAGGACAAGAGGATGGGGTTGGAGAAGTGGGAATTAAAGCCATCCCCTGCAGCACCTCTTTCCGCCGCCCCAAACAAGTTGCCCCTCCACATGCACACAGAGAGGTGACAGCGCCAGACATCAAACTGGGGCGGGAAGAGACTGGTTCGCGGCAGTACCAAGGACCTGGTGGGCACGACTCGTAAAACTGTCCCTTTTCGTCATCACCCTCTCATCCCACATTAATACGTACGGAAGAGGTGTGGGGGGGGAGGGGGGTACCTGCCCCTGCAGCAGGAGCGGTGGAGGCGATCCATCTATCTCACCCCCTCCATACCTCCCCGCAGGTGCGGCCACAGCCAGATGCAATTGACCCTAAGATTATTTTCGAATTTACAGGCATCGGCCCCCAGAGGGGGCCCCCAGGCAGAACCCAGCCAGGGGAGACTGCCAGAGGGGCGGTGGCCACCGTAAGTCAGCCAGGGCACTCTCCAAGCAGCCTGAAGCCCTACCTACTTTAACCCTCGGAGCTTAACCCAGACGTGTGTCGCAAACCAGCGAAAAACCCAAGCGGCTCCCGCGAGTTCCCGCCTCCCGACAGGTGAAAATCCCAGGGACCGCTCCGCAGAGCTGCCGACCTGGCCAGCCACGTCTCTGGACTCCAGGGTGCCGAGGCTCCGGCGCCCTACCCAAATCCCACCCGTGCAGACTCGGGAGCCGAGGGCGCAGACAACTGCTGCCACCGCATCCCCGATCCCTGGAGTCCGCTGGCCCGGGGACTGCCAGGAGAGCCGCAGGACCCTGTGAGGCTGGCAAGGTCTCGGAGGTCGGGGATCCCTGGCGCCGCGCCCCTCTTACCTAGCGCTCGCTGGGCCCCGGCTGGGGCATCCGCGGGGTGCGCGCCGCTCCAAGCCTCGCTGCGCACCTGGCCGCCTCCCGCCCGGCCCCAGCCCTGCCGCCGCGCTAGCGCTTCATGGCGCACGGGGTTGGCCAGGGACCCGGGAAGCGTGTCCAGTTGGCGGCGGCTCCTCCGGCTCCCGAGACTCACCAATGGCTCCCTGCCCTCCCCGCCCCGCGTCCGTGCGCCCTTCCTCTGCGGCCGCCCTTTTCCCTCCGCTCTGCCCGACCGGCCAAACTGGTTTCTCCGCTCCAGGGAGGAGCTTCTCGTCTCCCTCCCGCGGCCGCGGCCGCCGTGCGCGGCTGGGGACGAGGCTGGAGCTGGAGCTGGGGGCGGGTCCGACCGTCTGTCCTCTCTTTGTCCCTCCCCGGGGCGGAGAGGGGCTCAACGGCAGGCGCCAGGACTGGCCGACGCGGCCTAGGTCCAGTCCCGCACCCTCCGTGCGCCCCAGTGTCAGATGGGCAACGCCCCAGTGTCAGATGGGCAACCCCCCGAGCGCGCCCTCCCGCTTCGCCCAGCCTGTGATCAGGCAGTTTCGGCCACTCCTGCCCGCCGGGGCCGCAGTCACCACCCCACCCCACCAGCCCCGCGTCACTTTCCCGCCCTCTACCGGCTTGGCCGCAGCGCGGGGTCGGTGACCGCGCCAGCCCGGAAAGCTGGCGGGGTCGCCGCCCGCCTGGGACCTGAACTGTCTCTGTAAGAGGAGCTGTGTTCTTTCCATGCCAAGTCACGTTTCGGGACCAGTCACAGAACGCGCGTCGCGGTTCGCCACGCGGAGCGTTGGGGTAGCGACGGCACCAAAAGACTTGGAGAAACTTATCCTGAAATTGCAGCAAGCAGCCTTTCTGCTGAAACTGAAGTAGCTCACGTTTTAGGAGTTTAGGGTTAAGGTGCTATACGCGACCCACCGGGTGTAGCTGGAAATTTTGGACCCTCATTCAGCGTTGTGCTCTGGTGTCGTGCCTCCCTGGCAGGGTATTCAGGTACACTCTTGACATCGGTAACTCTGCTCAGTAGGCTCTTGCCGTTCACCTACCAAAGACAAGTCGCTGGGGTCAGAGGAGGAAAGTCGAGGGTCTAAGAGTTCGCCAAGAGGTGGAAGTGTTCATGGCAGAGCGCTTGCCTAGCATGCACAAGACCCCGGGTTCCATCGTGGAGCGGGGGTGAGGGCGGACACGACGACACAGGAGTTCCAGACAAGTGTCAGTACCTGCAGATGAGCTCCATGGAGGGGTGGGAGTTAGACCCCCACAACTTCAGGGATGGGAGCTGTGTGGCCAAGGCCATTCTAAAGGTGGAAAATCTTTTTATCAGTCTTGATCTTTCTCTGCGTGGTGCTTATCTCTCCTGGCCTCAGTTTCCTCATTTGTGAAGAAGTTGGACTAGGTGACCTCAGGGATTCCTTCCAGCGCTTATTTCTGAATCTAACAGCAGAACAAAGGGACGGAGAATACAGGGGCTTTTTAGCAGCAGTGGGGTAGACTGGCCCGTTGGCAGTGAGAGACTGTATGAGTCTCGAGGGGAAAGTGGGCCCCAGAACCTCTAAAGGCAGGGCCAAGGAGCTTGGTTGACTCAGTGAACCACTGAAAGTTCATGATCACAGCAGTGACATGATCAAGGCTGTGTTTTAGAGAAAATAACGGGAACACTTTAGAAGAGGCTAAGGGTGAAGCTGGGGTGTTATGTGGGAGACTAGTTTAGCAGTTTAAAGTGGGCCTGCAGAGGCCACCCGTGGAAGGGAAAAGAAAGAGGAGAATCAAAGGACATCAGAGCAAAAATGGCCAGGACACAGAGAGGCCAGACCCTGCAAGGGACTCAAGAGGCGAGCAAGGGAAATGAGCAAGCTCTCAAGACTGGGTGAAGGCAAGATAGGAACAGGGGAATCAGGAGGGAGGCCACTTAGGAGGGCTCTGCCCCAACTGGAAAAGTGCCAACAAACCTAGGACTTGAGAGGAGGGTGCTGGGGCCCACCATGGAGGTGCCAGCCTATAATTCCAGCTACACAGGAGGCAGAATCCCTTGAGGTCCAAGGCCAGCCCCAGGCAAAAGCAGGATATCCTATCTGAAAAACTAAAAGCAAAAAGGCTGGGGGTGTGGCTAAGAGATAGACCTCTTGCCTAGCAAGTGTAAGGCCCCAATTCAAAGCTTCACTGCAAAGTGTTCAATCTGTTCAAGAAAATGTTGCATAGAAAAGGTCACCCTTTGGTACATCCAAACCACACCTGTACCAGAATTTTCCAGAGCTGGTAAATCCTGTTTTCATGACTGCTTTAACACGGTTGTGCAGACACTGGAGCTTTCCAGCTAGGTTTTTCCTCTTCTCCTACAGGCTGCATTGGAAGGGAGGAGAGGATTTAGGGCCACAGTGGGTATTGCTTCAAAGATTCCTTCATTCAAAAATATTTACTGAGTGCCTAGTATGAGCCAATAATGTTCTACTTGCTTTGGCACATCAGTGAACCCAACAGGCAAATAGTACCTAAAAGGTAACAAATACTTTGAGACACAGAGCGGGCCTGACTGGGAGGGTGCCCTGAAAGACTCTTCTTCTGAAGGTACTGTGAAACTTCTATATCTTGACCTGGGCACTGGTTACAAGGTATACATATGTAAGAGTTCATGAACTTATACACTTAAGATTTGTACACTGAAAAAATAAAGTGTAAGGACTAGGGGGCCCAGTGCATGGTAGAGTGCATGCCTAACAGGTGCAATGCCCTGGCTTCAATTTGCAGCACTCTACTACTATTTGCCAGTTAGGATTGTTTATGGCAATCAGTTCAGTATTCAGGAGGCTGAGGCAAGAGGATCACAAGTCTGAGGCTAGCCTGGGTTACGTACCAAGACCCTCTCTCAAAACAAATGAACAATAATAACAATAACCAGGCAAGGTTAAGAGATTCGGAATGGGAAGATGAATCACAGTTTTAAATACTATGGTCAGTATAGGCTTCTGGGAGAATTGCAATTGAAAAGACTTGCAAAAAGGTTGGCTTTCATCTTTGACAAGATGCCTATTGAAAAGCCTGGACCCCACCAGAGGAGGGTTTCCCTCCTGTAAGCCTTCTGCAGCTTGGGAAGGAGACTCAAGTGTGTGAACTGATGTTGCTGATAAAGGAAGTAACTCAGACGAAAGTCCCAACCCTCCTTCTTGCTGAAACAACCATGCCAAATTTCAGGGTGCCTTGATCAGTCATTGAAAGTGTTTAATGCATAAAGCAAGGATTATTATTATTATTATTATCATTATTATTTGGTGGGACTGGGGTTTGAACTCAAGGCTTGCAAAGCAGGCGCTCTTGAGCCACACCTCCAGTCACAACAAGGATCAACTTTGAAATAAGCCTTATATGAGCCTTATATGAGCCACTGTGTCATGACTTCTTTGTCCTGGCAGAGCCCCAATCCCACCTGCCTCTGCAATTCTTTCACAGAGTTTTGGGGTGGTATAGAATGAGATTTGTGTTATTTGGAAATTTCCCTTTACCTTGCAAGCTGCTGGGAAAAATAATGAAATTTAGCAGAAACAGTCATTTCTAAAAGAGGGTAGCCATGCTTTTCATTTTTTGCAGTTCATGATTTCCTCCAAGTGTTTCTTTCCTCCCCTTTTCTTGGTAACATTGCTGTGCAGATGCTTATGGTATGGGAAAAAAGGCTGAGGAGATGGCCAAGAGAACAGCTCAATTTTTACTGAAAATTTCTTCCCTAGAATATTTTTTTTCTGCAAGTTAAGAGCTAAGGCATACAAGATAAGCTTAAAGGGAGGTGATACTGCCTGTATTTGGTTCTTGGCTAAGTCCCTGTGGTCATTTAAGCTAAAGCATTTAATGACAATGGAACAGTATTTTGGCTAGACTGAGTTCTATTGTAACCCTAAATTGGCAGTCCAGAGCAACTCATTTGGAAGGCTGGAATTCTTCACAGCCATTTTTTAGACCAGCTTCAGGATTTTATTTTATTTCTTTTTTGGAGGCTGCTGGGCATTGAGCCTGGGGCCTCCTCTAACACCGAGCTACACGCTCAGCGCCAGCATGATAAGAACACACCTCTTGTATGAATCTGTCTTTGCAATGACTGACATTAGAAGCTTCAAACATCAGATACACATGATGTTATTTGTGTCTTTGGCAAAATAATTTTCCATATCTCTCCTCAGTGACACAACTTTCTGCCTTCTTTGCCACTTAATGATGACTTCTCCTTCTTCCTCTTTGTCTTCCTTCTTCTTCCTCTTCCTCCTCGTCTTCCTTCTTCTTCCTCTTCCTCCTCCTCTTCTTCCCCCTCCTCCTCTTCTTCCCCCTCCTCCTCTTCCTCCTCCTCCTTTTCCTCCTCCTCCTCCTTCTTTTTCCCCTTCTCCTCCTTCTTTTTCAACCAACATTAGAAAATAAACAATTGGATTGCAAAAGAAACATTAGACATCAGGTAACAGCACACTTCAACATTGGCAACCTCTGAGAAGTTTAAGCGTGCACGGATGTGCCAGTGTGCTATTAAACTTCACTTCTCTTCCTTTCATGTCCAGAAGTTTGTAAATCTGCAGGATTCATCATACTTCTTTTCTCTAGGGAAGAGATTTTAAGAAACCACTCTTGTGTGTGTATATGGAAATGCAGTAAACATTCTTATGTTGACCTGGTGTTGATAATGTAACTGTAGTTAAAATGATATGGGTAGAAAGGCTGGGGAAGTAGTTAAAATGATATGGGTAGAAAGGCTGGGGAAGTTGCCAAGAGAACTAGCTTGATTTTACTGAAAATTCCTTTCCTGGAAAGTTTTTCTAAGAAAGGAATATATTAGTCGGGTGCTGGTGTTGTCTCATGCGTGTAATCCTAGCTACTCAGGAGGCAGAGATCAGGAAGATCGAGGTTTGAAGCCATCCCAGGCAAATAGTTTTCGAGACCCTAACTCGAAAAAACCCTTCAAAAATAGGGGCTGATGGAGTGGCTCAAGGTGTTGGCCCTGAGTTCAAACCCCAGTATCACAAAAAAGGAATATATCAATTATTATAATTAATTCAATTAACATCTCTTGTGAACATTGTTAGTATATGTTGCCACGTTCTCCTGTACTTGTGAGAAGTTTGTCTGTGTTACCTTCTGCTCTGTTTTCATCACTTCCATTGAATCATGAAAACACCTTGGCATTTCCACCTTTATTCCTCATTCTTCC